CTAAAAAACCCGAATTTGTTGATAAATAGTTGTTCGCATCGCTGGCATTTAAAGTGAATGGCATCTAAATCAGCATTAGGAGACATGACGATGTAATTTGTGGCCGAAAAATCTGGTAGTTCGTGCCGCTTTGGAAGAGGGTTAGCTCTAGGCTTAGAAAACGAGTACGTTCGCTTGGGTGCAGTTGTAGGCTGAAATGTTTCATTTTCTTCTGCAGCTAGAACATAACCCTGTTCGGTACTCATCATTTCCACCGTCTCTGTTGGCGACTCTGTCACCTCTCCACTCTTCGACTTTTTATTGGACTGGACCTGCAACACCTCATTAGGTAACACCAGATCGCTACTTTGATCATCTTGGTTCAAAATATAGACCAAATTGGGTTCATCGGATTGGTGAAATTCCACAAGCTCCTGATCCTCACTCATCAAAATCAGCTCGTCACCTTCAAAATGATCCTCCCTGTAGAAAGCATCTAAATTATCCACACCCTTATGCAATTCATGATGATCGCACATATCGTCAGTGTTGGAGAAGGTTTGCAAACATTTGCAACAAGTCAATTTCTTGGTGTATTCGTGCAAATGTTTATCGATCAAATCGATTTTGCTGGAAAAAATTTCTGAGCAAATTCCACATTGATACTGCTCAATCGGCTCATCGTCAGAATTATCCTCGAATTCAATCAGGTCCTGCTGCACAAATTCACACGATCTAAAATTCAATGACATAAGTATAAATGAAAAACGTCCTGAATAACACACTGAACCAATGGATAAAACGGATGAACAAATTACAATTTAACAGGTTGTAGATTTCAATTTATTAAGTGGATCTCTTGTAAACTTTTGCTTAGATTGTGTCAATACTTTTGTGCAGCTATAACCCTAGCGCATGCTTAAATAATTACAACTCGAACTATTTTATAGCTGATTTCAATAATCGCAGTCTGATAATCTCAACACTTCTTCATTCACACTGGGTATAATATCATTCTGATATTGTTACATATTCATGGTGCCTGTTCTGCAGCTCTGTGAGAAGCTATCTATGCAGATTTCCTCTTTTATTTACGAGGCACCCTCAACCTTGATATATTGTCACACATCACGTGCGTTTTAATATTTTTTACTCTCATAGTCATCTTATTGCTCTTTAGGCCACTTACTTCTATTCAATCGAATTCATCGAATTAGAACAAACAAATTACATAACTTAATTTTAACGAATAAAATATATATAAATGTAATAAAAACGGAAAAGCCCAGTCACGATAACAATACTGCCAACGTGCCTAACATTTCACTCATTTCAACAACAATAAAGGTAGGGAAAAAGTTCCCTAACTCCCGTCAACCCTGTCTTCTATCTTGATTAGTGCGGGTTCCGCAAGTTGGGGTCCTTTGCAATGATGGTTCTTTAGTTCGGCTTTCGTAACAAATCCTTTATTGCAAATGCAACAGCTAAAAGGTCTTTCTCCTGTATGGTAGCGCATATGTATCGTAACTGTATACGGTTGRGTAAAACCTTTGAAGCAAATTGGACATTTGTGCGGTTTTTCCTTGGTGTGGGTCCTGATGTGATGTCTCAGAATTTTCCGATTTGCAAAATGTCTRCCGCACATATCGCATTTGTGCGGTTTCACCCCCAGATGGACCTTCATGTGCGGCCTTATGTTCCTTTTGAGCACTTCTTTCCCACAAGTTTCACAGACGCATCTTCTCTTTCGATAATCAGGTTCTTCTAAATCATGCGTTTCCATGTGCTTGATATAGCTACTCTGATAGATCAGAACTTTTCCGCAAATCGAACACCGAAAACTGAATTCATACTGAGCATCGTGCACACTCCATACGTGCTTCTTCAAAGCTTTTTGTGGGGTTTTAAAGCTCTTCCTGCAAAATGGACACTGCCTACTTTCTCCTCCAACACTTTGCTTATGCAGCTTCTGGAAGTGGCATTGAAGCTTCTGATTATCTTCAAAGGACAAGTCGCAAATTGCACAGATAAATCGTTGGAACTTTTTCTGCTGGGAATGAATGTAAGAGTGCCTCTTTAGATTACCCTGGGAAGCGAATATTTTAAAACAAATGTGACATTGAGGCCTAAAAATGAAGATTTTGTTAAATAATGGTTAGAAACAAACAGCCGGGCAACACTACGTTATATTGCAGACATTTTCAAAAAACACGAAATAACATGTAAAATACAAAAATATATTTGATCAGTGTAAGCACATCAATACGAGTATGTTTATTTTACATTTTACGAGAAAATAATAAATACAGTAATATATGAGGGTCCTGTCTAAAATATGATATTTTTAAATACCATACATTTTTCCCAGATTTAGTATTCATAAAGATGAATGGGTGATCAAGATTAATGTAGAATAACCTACTTTAACTTGAAAAAAATAATTTCATTTTTAATAGTTAAGTAGCGAGAAGGAATACTGAACCAAATTTAGGAAAAAATCGACCTCCATAAAATATAAACACTTTAGAACGTCGATTTCTCATTATTGAGATTGTATTTTCTTAAAGATAATTATATATAATAAATAATTACATTATATTTGAGTTTATCCATCTTCCTTTTTACTCTACTTGCAACTAGGCACATAAACGTTCAACATAACGATCTTTTCACCTATGTAGGTGAGATTTATGTAAATTTCACGATAAAATATACATATAGAGTATGCAATTAAAATATAGAAATAACAAAATGAGACTCTAGTTTAGAACGTATTATTGTCTCTAGATTCATTCATCCGATTGAAGTTTTAATTGGGGCACAATTGTGATGCTTCAGTTCGGTTTTAGTAACAAACCCCTTTAAGCACCGAAGACACTTATGTGGCCGCTCACCTGTGTGATATCTCATGTGGACAGTCACCGAGTACTTTTGTGTAAAACCTTTACCACAAATGGCACATAAATAGGGTTTTTCTTTTGTGTGTATTCTTATGTGAATCCGCAGGGACTTTTTGGTGACGAAGCCTTTTCCGCAATATTCACAGCTATACGGTTTCTCTCCTGAAACAACATTCCTCACTAGTTCGGAACGGTATTCATTGCTCTTCAAAAGTTTACCTGTGTGGGACATCAGGTGGACCTTTAAGTTCTTCTTTAGCATCTCTTTTCCACATATGTCGCAACAATATCTTCGATAAAAACATGGAAATCTCGGATCAGCAGCATGTCTCTTCTGCATGTGTGCCTCCAGATAAGTGCTGCATGTCAATTTCTTGCCACAAATCTCACATTCGAATTCTGATCTAAAGTTCGGATCGTGATTGTTGATGTGCTTTTCAAACCATGACTTCTCCTTGAATTGCTTTCCGCAATGTGTGCAACTGAACTCCGCCGATTTATGCAGGGACTTTATATGACAGATTAGATGGTATTTGGTGGTGAACATTTTTCTGCAGTCGAAACACTCGAACTTTCTTTGTCTACGAATTAATACTGTGTTCCTAAAATAATCAAAATATTATCCAATGTATACTAGAGGTCTCTGTAGAATACTGACCTTTGGTGGACCGTGGAATATCATATTTGCTTAAACTGAACTAGGAAACAAACAATTTTTGCTTGTCGATCTTTCTGAGCAACGGAAAATAGCCAAAATCAAAATGCGGTCTAATTTACAAATAATAATTTTCAAATATAAAATAAATAAACATATTTTAGATTTATTAACGTAAGTAAAAGGAGTGCTCTTTAGCTCAACTAAATGTACAGCAGAAATGTTAAGTACAGGTTTTTTCCTGATTTAAAACCGTTTTAACGGTTTAAGGATTTCACAACACTGGAAAGCGTGGATAAAAATGTACACATTTTTCGCCTCAAATGATCAATGTTTTACAATAGAACTCACGCAGACGCGTTTCAACCACTATGGTATAAATCCTTAAATAGTCAGAATATTACATCTTAATGTATCAAAATACTTAACACAACGCCAGGTGATGACAAAAGTTAAATTTCGAGTAGAGTACACCTAAAATCGACCTTTACATTTATGTGTTTTAAGTGCAGTCTTCGTAACAAAACTTTTAACGCAAATTTCACAGTTATTCGGTTTCACTCCCGTATGCTGCCTCACATGAATGTTCAAACTGCCCTTCTGTGTGAAACTCTTACTGCACATATGGCACTGAAACGGCTTCTCCTTTGTGTGTACAACTCTGTGAGTCTGGAGTAAGCTCTTGGTGGTAAAACTTTTCCCACAAACACCACATTGGAATGGTTTTTCGCCCGTATGAATTCGCATGTGATGTCTCAGGCTTGTCTTGGAAGTGAGATTCTTACCACAAATATAGCACACATTAGCCACAGCCGCCCCAGTGTGGGATTTCATGTGCACCTGGTAGGATTTTACGTGAGTGAGAATTTTCGAGCAAAAGCAGCACAAGAACTCGTTCTTTTTATATTCCGGATCATGAGTCTTCTGATGATCCTTGAAATACTGCTCATTTTTGAAAGACTTTGAACACACATTACATGTAAACTTTAATCTTAAATGCTTACATTTATGCCGCAGAAGTTGATATTTAAAGTTAAAACCCCGATCACAATGGCTACATAAAATCTTAAATTGGTTGTAGTGGACGTTATCGATGTGCCGTTTCATTCGTTCCTCTCGGGCGAACTGTTCTTGGAGGTTGTTCTCCAACATGAATGTTTTAAAACAAAAGTTGCAGATTGCTCTGTCTTGATGGGCGTCAATATAATGCTGATAAAAGCTCCGGTTGGTAGAAAACTGTGCAGTACAGACATCACAATTATTAACAAAGCATTTTCCTTTTTCTATATGTCTAAAAAACCCGAATTTGTTGATAAATAGTTGTTCGCATCGCTGGCATTTAAAGTGAATGGCATCCAAATTAGCATTAGGAGACATGACGATGTACTTTGTGGTCCAAAAATATGGTAGTTCGTGCCGCTTTGGAAGAGGGTTAGCTCTAGGCCTAGAAAACGAGTACGTTCGCTTGGGTGCAGTTGTAGCCTGAAATGTTTCATTTGCTCCTGCAGCTAAAACATAACCCTGTTCGGTACTCATCATTTCCACCGTCTTTGTTGGAGACTTTGTCACCTCTCCACTCTTGGACTTTTTATTGGATTGGACCTGCAACCCCTCATTAGGTAACACTAGATCGCTATTTTCATCATCTTGGTTCAAACTATTAAGCATATTGGGTTCATTGGATGGGTGAAACTCTACAAGCTCCTGATGCTCACTCATCAAAATCAGCTTGTCACCGTCAAAATGATCTTCCCTGTAGAAAGCATCTAAATTATCCACCCCCTTATGCAATTCATGATGATCGCACATATCGTCAGTGTTGGAGAAGGTTTGCAAACATTTGCAACAGGTCAATTTCTTTGTGTATTTGTGCAAATGTTGCTCGATCAAATCGATTTTGCTGGAAAAAATTTCTGAGCAAATTCCACATTGATACTGCGCAATCGGCTCATTGTCAGAATTATCCTCGAGTTCAATCAGGTCTTGCTGCACAAATTCACATGATCTAAAATTCAATGACGTAAGTATGAATAAAAAAGAACCTGAATAATACACTGAACCAATGGACAAAACGGATGAACAAATTAAAATTTAACAGGTTGTATATTTCAATTTATTAAGTGGAACTCTCGTGAACTTTTGCTTAAAATGTGTCGATACCTTTGTCCATCTACAACTCTAGCACATGCTTAAATAATTACAACTCGAACTATTTTATAGCTGATTTCAGTAATCGCAGTCTGATAATCTCAAAACTTCTTCGTTCACACTGGGTATAATATCATTCTGATATTGTTACATATTTATGGTGCCTGTTGAGCAGCTCTGTGAGAAGCCATCTATGCAGATTTTCTCTTTTATTTACGAGGCCCCCTCAACCTTGATATATTGTCACACATCACGTGCATTTTAATGTTTTTAAAGCGTGAATAAAAATGTACACTTTTTCGCCACAAATGATCATTTTTTTACAACGGAACTCACACACTCTATTGAAATAGCACCTTGACCTGGTCGAACGACACCAACAACGTGTTTCAAGCACCATGGTGTAAATCCTTAAATAGTCAGAATATTACATGTAACTGTATAAAAATACTTAATATAACGCCAGGTGATCACAAAAGTTAAATTTCGAGTACTCCTAAAATCGACCTTCACATTTATGTGTTTTAAGTGCAGTCTTCGAAACAAAACTTTTAAAGCAAATTTCACAGTTATACGGTTTCACTCCCGTATGCTGCCTCACATGAATGTTCAAACTGCCCTTCTGCGTGAAACTCTTACTGCACATATCGCACTGAAACGGCTTTTCCTTTGTGTGTACAACTCTGTGAGTCCTGAGTAAGCTGGTGGTGGTAAAACTTTTGCCACAAACATCACATTGGAATGGTTTTTCGCCCGTATGAATTCGCATGTGATGTCTCAGGCTTGCCTTGGAAGTGAGATTCTTACCACAAATATCGCACACACTAGCCACAGCCTCCCCAGTGTGGGATTTCATGTGCACCTTGTAGGATTTTACGTGAGTGAGAATTTTCGAGCAAAAGCAGCACAAGAACTCATCCTTTTTATATTCCGGATCATGAGTCTTCTGATGCTCCTTGAAATACTGCTCATTTTTGAAAGACTTTGAACACACATTACATGTAAGCTTTAATCCTAAATGCTTAAATTCCTCATGCCGCAGTAGTTCATATTTAAAGTTAAAACCCCGATCACAATGGCTACATGAATACTTAAATTGATTGTAGTGGACGTTATCGATGTGCCGTTTCATTCGTTCTTCTTGGGCGAACTGTTTTGTACAATATTGGCAAGCAAAGTTATTGCACTCTTTGAAATGGACCTTTTTCAAATGCTGAACCAATAAGTACTTCATTTGGAACTTCCTATCACAATGCGTACAAAACAGTTTCTTTTCTCGATGAATTCGCAAATGCCTTTTTAACTTTACAGAAGAAGGAAATTGTTTAGAACAAATCCCACACGATAAATCTTCGACATTGGTCGAAGACCATTTTGACCTGAAATAAAACAAGATTTAATTATTTACGAGAATTTTCGTTGAACAATAAAAAATTTGGAAAAACGTGTAATTTTGGAAAAACATTTATTTAATGGAAAAGTTAGGAACAACAATAAAAGTTAAACAAAACGAACAATTCAATTAAGTTCGTTTAACACTGACTTTCTGCGGTGGAAACGTAAACAAAACTAACATTTAATGGCAAAATATGAGATTTAAGAGCACAAATGTACGCTACTGTTGAAAAATAATCCTGACGGTTTTTAAGTATTTCGTGAAAAAGTGATTCTTTGGAAAACTACAATATAATCATACGAAAAAGCAGGTGAACACATTAACAACTTCATTTTGTCTCTATTTTCCGGCCTTCTGTCACTTACTTTCATCGTTTAAGTACTAGGAGCTTAACTAATTTTATATAAGAACAAAACAAACTTTTCAAGTTTAACTACGTATTCTTGAAATCAACATTTAACGAATAAGATGAAAACAAACTTTTTGAAGTTTAACTATCTTCAAACCAACATTTAACGAATATGAACATAAACTGATAAGTTTAAAAAATCGGTTTTCGACATCAATCAGTCCGAGGATGAAATAGGCGATACTAATTCGCTTAGAGGTCTTATTCCACGTCGCTCTTTTAGTGGAAAAGATTTAGTGGCATTCCCGTTAAGAAAGTACGCAACTTCATCGTCTGTATCTGACACACTCTCAAATAAATGAGGTGACTTTTTCGATTTGCGTTTAAATGACTTCTTATTTGTGCCTGAAAACTTTACTGTTTCGGTATCAGACGATGGAGGTTCAGGTTTTGCGGAACATGGATTATTGTCCTCAACAATCTGAACTTCTTCGTCGGTGTCAGACAATATAATGGGACTATTTGACCAAACTCTAACCGTTCTTTTCGCTCCTTTCTTTTTTGATACAGACAGGTTACGTGTTTCATGCAATGAATTGCCATGAGAAGTGCGGCTTTTCTTAGAACGTCGATGGTGATGATGGAAATGTCGATGGTGCTTCTTAGAATGATGGTGTCTTCTAAAAGGCGATACATGCTTTTCACGATGGCCATTACGAGGTTCTCGATTTTCGGATAGTTCTCTCGTAATTCTCAACGTTTCATTATAATTCATTTTTAGTTGATAAGATCTTTCATTATTTCTGTACCGGCTATAATCGTGACGCCAATTATAGAAATGATCGAATTTGATATGACTAATTAAACTCCTTGAGGAATCGAAAAGCATACCGCACTCTGTGCAAGTGATTTCTGTCGCATGTGTGGACCGATGAATCAAAAACGATTCGATAGAAAATAGCATATTACATTTAAAACACGGAATTCGAATACTAGCGATTGACGATTGAGAATCGTCATCTTCTATCAGCCCTTCTTCAGACTCTTTTGCAACTTTCGTTTGATTAGGATTCTTCAGGTAGGGAAAATGGAAGGAATCTGGATGGTCTTTAATGATCTTGTTATTTATGGTTTGCTTGAGATATTTAACATTTCTTAGCCTAAAAAATAGGAAAGAATAAGTATGCGGCAGCTAAGATTAAAAAAATAACTAATCTAAATTCTTCTAAATGACAAATTTTAAAATCTTAAATAAAAAAGCTACCAGCCAAGTAACAGATTTTTTACAGAACATTTTACAGAACGAAATTAGTACCAACAATATATTTTATTTTAAAAGTGGAAATTTAA